ACAAAAAAAAAAAAAAAAAAAAAAAAAAAGAATATAATCTAGCGGGGGTGTGTGTGCTCAAGCCCTCGGGGAAGGCATCTCTGAGGGGCCACCCTCAAGCACCATCGTCACAAGCTTCACTCAACGTGCTGTTTGATGAACGACTGTTTCAAGGGCTGCACTAACGTCCCCACCCGTGACCTTGGAGGTGGAGGTGGCCATGTCACTTGTATTAGGGCTACAAGTGACAAGAATGGGGGTGTTAAGGACAGGAAAACCCAGAGGTGAAAATGACCTGCCCCACACTACACAAAGCCCAGTGTTGTACACCTAAAGCCTACTTTCTGCCCCCCGCCCCACCTCTGGCTCTATCTTGCCCAGGCTCCTGGTTCTGCATCCAAGAAAAGGGGCATCAGTGACCACATAGGAAGCACTCAGAGGAAATCACTGCTGCCCTTTAGCTTAGGTGCTATACAAAGGCTGAATCTGGCTTAGCATTATCAATTACCAGGGTACCCTTCCTGCCCTGAAACAAGCCTGACACATGAAAATTTGGCATTAAACTCACACACACACACAAACTTGGATCAAACTTTTCACCGTGACAGCTTTGTGTACATTACAGAACGTATTCACGATTATGTTATGCCTTAACTCTTTTGTGGAATAAAAGGAGAAGACGGGTCCCACTACTGCAGCCCTGGCTCCCCCAGGGCAGGCACGTGATGACGTGTAACCACGCCGGAGGGGAGACCCGGACTACCTAGCGTATTGATGCGGTAGATGAACTCTTTGAAGACTTCCTTTTCCTGGAGGAACTCCACGGGGATCTCGGGGAACACGGTGCCAAAATCCCCTCCTGGTTTGGGTGACCATCCGAGTTTCCACACCTGAGAGGATGAAAGAGACATAGTCTCCTGAGTCAAGTCAGGATGGCCAAACCGCGAGGGAGCCAGGAAACACGCTTTCTCTAGGCGCAGCTCCCTGGCGGGCCACCTCTTCCTGAGCGCAGACACGGTGGAGGGAGGGCCCTGGGCGCTGGTGCCACGGGGGCTCCCAGACCTGTCCAGGGCCGCCCGCGCAGGTGCCCCCAACCCTTAGAGGCTGGCAGGAGCATGTGAGGTTCGGCCACACACAGCAATATTTACCGCGAGCAGGCACGACGAGAGCCACGCCAGCCGTTTGTAAACTCCGTCAAGTCCAGCTTTGTCGTCTGGCGCTGCCACGCACACCGGAGGGGCCAAGGCTGCCCCGGCAGCAGGAGCCCAGCTCCCAACCGGCCGAGCCGACCCCCTCGGAGGACACAGGCTGCAGCCGGCCAGAGCTCGCACTCTGCATCCCCAAAGCCGGCCACGTAGGCCTCGAGGAGGTGGCCGGCTGGCCCCCGCAGCCCCAGCGCCCACTGGCCTCTGGAAGACGCCCTCTCAGCCTCTCACCTGCTCCCCGAACCCTCCTGAACATCCCGTGGGAGGGTCGTGGAGCCGCGTGGGTTCAAGCCCACGCTCGCAGAGTTTCATCTACAGCGTGCGTGGTCTGGGCAGCTCTTCCCACGTCCGGGCCAGCCATCGAAGCCTCCAGACTGTGCCCGCCTGCATCGGCTCCCTGCTCCCACCCAAAGGTGAGCCGTCTCGACACCTGCAGCGACGGCCCAAGCGCGACACCCGGGCTGAGACCCACTCCTGACACCCCAGCTCTCCCCACCCCGGGGTGCCGGGTTTCGCCAACGCCCACAACTCCCAGTTTCCACGGCGACCCCAGGACAGCACGTCACTGGGACTTTCCCCAGAAAGAGCTCCCACAGCGAGACCCTCTTCACCCTCCGGGTCGGGGCGCACCACGGCCGCGGTGCCGCCGCTGCAGAGCCTCCCACGCACAAAGGCTGAACCCCGCCGGCGGGCATGCACCCTTCCAGGCAGCAACAAGCGCCTGCCTCTCGGTCCCGGCCCACCTCCTCCTGCCGGCTCCAGCCTGCGGGTGCCAGCCCATCGCCCTATCTCTCCCTCCAGCAGGGGTGAGGGCAGCAGCGCAGCCTCCTGCAGCCCGCCCGCCCAGGCCCCTCTGTGACGTGGAACCGGGTCCCATTGACGACGCCCACCTGACCCTGGTTCCAAAGCCAGCTTTAAAAGAGCAGAGGAGCTGCAGCTGTGCCATACCCCCCGAGCTTCCCCCGAGGGTGACTACCTAAAGGGAAACGCTCACTCCAGGAGCTATCATTTCTGCTCTCCCGTTCAACAGATGAGCCTGAGGACCTCGGAATCACATCCAGCGCCGTGGGAACAAAAAAATCTCATTTCGTCATGTGATGATGCCCCACCCCATTTCGGAGCATTTCTACTCACGACTGAGCCACATCATGCCCGAGGAAACCAGCCCGGTGTCACGAATGCAACCAAGGAACGTTCTGGCCACCCGCAAGTGGGCATGTGAGCGGCTTCGCACTCTCAGAGCCCCGCGCCTGGGGCCTGCCTGCGCATCACCATCACTTGGGTCTTGTGCAAAGGGAGGGACAGACTCACCAGGGGCGGGACGCGCGTGTAGCTGTTGACGAGGGGCAAGCGGGCCAGGCTGATGACGATGTTCTTGAGCACCGGCGTGAGGAACGCCGGGGCGCTGCTGTTCCTTTTATGACCCAAGGCCAGCACCAACGGCAGTGCCTCCACCATCTCGGCCACCATCCCACAGGCTGCAGTGACATACTGAGGGTCTAAACAGGCACCGTGGGTGACAGAGGACCATTCTGTCAAAACACACCCCAGACCCACCATCCCTCCCCCTGACCTTCCCACCCTTGCAGATAGTAGGCACAGCCCCACTGCCGGCCACGCCCGCCAGAAACATGGAGCCCGCGAGACTCTAGGTGGTCGCTGAAGGCCTACAGATCTCACCTCCTCCACATCCACCTAAACAGACAGTCCTCTCCACATCTGCCACGACTGGCACAAACACCTGGAACCTGGTCCCAGCCTCCCACCCACCCTGCATGTGCAGCCAGCTGACACCCAGGAGGAGGCTGCAGCCCCTCCCCAGGGCTTTGGCTTTCTCTGGCTCTCCCAGGACCCTGTGCTCGCTCGCCCCTAGGCTGGTGTGTAGAGACCCACGCTGTAATCCTCGGTTCACCGTTCCCCCAAGATCGGGGGTTCTGGTGGCTGGTGGAGGGATTCTGATGGGCTGCCGAGACCTACCCGAGAAGTCCTGAGACAGAATGCTGAGGAAACCCCCACGTCCTGAGGGTTTCAGAACCACTGCACCTCAAGGGCAGGGGCACATTCTTCCTCACTTCGAGTCTGGCACAGAGTATGTGCCAAAAAGTTACCTGCCAAGTTGATAAATGCTCAGGGCTGTGGACGGATACTACCCACCGTCCATGAGACCTCACTGTCTAGGCAGCTTCCTCATAGAGAGAAGGAATGACGAGTGGACTTAAGGAATCGAGCCCTGAGCTACGAGAAACAAGGGTGACTTTAATACAGCTCCCGGGAGCATCTTGAAGAGGCGCCACCCTACCGAGACGATAAGGAAAGCACGCCCCCCCGCCCCCCCGGGGCCAGGGCGAAATTAACCAGCCTCAACGGGGCCACGGAGAATGAGCACAATTATATTAACCCAAACGAACTATGCTCCAGCCAGTGGGCCTGCCTGCTCTGCCTCAAGCACATGAAAAGCTGCAACTATTTTCAGAGGAATGGAAATTCAAATTACAACTAAAATACGGTGACATTCCCTGAGCACTTATAGCAAGGCTGGCACTTGTCATGGGTTCTTTATGTGGACTAATTCACTTAATCCTATGGCAGCCCCATCAGGTGAGTACTATTCTTATCCATACTGCAGAAGCACAGGGTAGTAACTTGCTAAGGCCACACAGCCACAAGGTGGCTGAGCAGGAAGTGAGTGTTTGCACGCTCCTCAGGTATCAGTAAGGAATCATTAAGTCACAAACTCGGGGATGGCAGAACCAGAGTCTTGAGATAGAGGCTCAGGGAAGAGCTTGGCTGTGAACAAAACACCACTGCTTCTAGATGCTGTGCAACTGTAAAACCTTGAGTGGGTAAAAAGAAGAAAAATTCCTATCTTAACACCACTGACAGGGACACTCTTGTCATTAACTGGGGTTGAGCAAAAGCTGGCAAAAAAAGACACAAAGCATTTCTACCTGCTATTAAAAAGGCATGTTTCTTAAGCCAACAGAGCATGGATAAGATTTCGATATTCCAAGTAAGAGTGTTCCATAAGAGAGACGGCCCAGAACTGCCAGGTGGGGCATTTGCTTCCCCCCTCTGTGGGACAGGCTGCAGGTTGGCATTCCCACCAGACCCTCTGGGGAAAGAGCCTGGAGGCCCCTGGTGACAAGAAGCTTTCCTCACAACGTGCCTTGCCACCATTTTCAGAGTAAAATACCTGAATCGGGAGAAAGTACATGAAAAACTAAGGTACGTGGCTAAATCTAGGTTTAAATGATTTTGAATAGGTTTAAATGAATGAGATGTGTATTTTTTTCTTTTCTTTTTCTTCTGTAGGGAGAGGAGGAATTTCATTTAAAAGTCCACCAAAATATATGGCTGAAACAGACACTCAGGTTACCTAATATTCACATGGTACTTCCACTAACTTTAAGTTTCTTAGTATTTTTATTCATTCAGTCGTTACTCAACAAACATGTGTTGATCACTTACAGCAGTGAGAACACAGAGAAGGAAAATGGATGCCCTGCCCACAAGGAGCTCGGAGTCTGAGGTAAAGGACACAGAAGCAGCAAGTGCAGGGTGAAAACAGAAGCGGGGGGGCGGTGGGGAAAGCGAGCGAGGATGGAGGTCAGGAGGCTCCCCGACGAGCGCAACACCCCAGCGGAGTGTGGGGTTCACGGGGTGCCCGCCAGCGGGACGTGCGAGGCAGCCCCTCGAATTGCCCCCGAACTCAGGGACGAGCGCCAGGACGCAGCCAAGTGAAGGCAGGCAGCTTCACACGTCCACACTGACCGCTTTAAAGGTCTCTTCCGTGAATGAATTTCAAGCCCCCAAAGACACTAGGTAAGACGTACTCTGTGTGTTTGAATCCACTTCGTCCTCTCTGGCGGCCTGTGGGGTGTTCGTCCTTCTTTCTGGACTAAGAAGCTGGTCCCCAGGCTGCACCACAACTACAACCACAACAGAACAAACAGAAGAATTCCCATTCCTTTCATTCAGATTTTCACATTCATGCAGCCTCATGAACGTTTCAAAGTGACAGACTATGTCAAATGAGGTCTAGATTTCCTAGAATCAACTTTAGACCATTTTAGACGCACCAGACTCAGGTATCAATCTCTAGGCTAATCCAAAGTGCACAAGGATTTGGGCTTCTACACTCGGATTTCCAAGTCCTTCCCACTGTCTGCTGTTTGCCACCTCTAACCTGGGAAGTCTTTATCAGATGGTTCATGATTCATTACTGCTAAAGGCATCAATGCAGCCCCCAAAAGTCTGGCTTTGATAAATTAGCCCCCGGACCTTCGTTTTCAAGTTGACTACAAACGCACAGATGAAAACAATTTAAACAATGACTCTTCAAAACACCACACTCCATAATGCTTAATTTAAAAATACAAAACTGCAAAACACCCTCTAACATGTTAAACTATAATGTCCAATTTTTTTTAAATTGTGGCTAATGACCCTCGTTAAGGACACTGTCCCTTGAAAAGAGTAAGTCACTTTTATTTTTCAATATACTCGTATTACAATGCAGTATAGAAACAAGCATTTCAACTATAATAGAGAACAAGTAATTTTTTGAATACAATCTTATTAATCTTATGATCATCTAGGACTAAAAGGATGGACCAGAAATCAAAGGGACATAAATTGGAAGTATTTTTTATGAAAGCTAGAATTCCAAAATCTAAACAAAATGACTGCAAAAGCAAATTCAAGTTAAATTCTAGGGTAGACCCCAAGATACTGGAGATTGAGGCAAGGCCCATATTTCATCCACCTCTTCACCCCCAATTCCCAACTTAGCACCTGGCAAACAGGTGGCACAAAATGAACGTCTGTGACTACATTTGCGGAGCTGATTACTGGTTCAAGTGACAAAGGAAAGAAACCGTCACGGTCATGGACTCACTGGCTTCCAGGATGAACCGCACGCAGTGGATGAGGGAGCAGGCGTGGGTCACCATCTCAGCAGAGGAGAGCAGGCCCCAGAGGCCGGGCAGCTGCAGAGCCAGGCAGCAGCAGTCCAGGCCCGCCTGCAGGTCCAGACTCAGTGGGATCTGCTCGTGGATCAAATGCCACGACAGGGCCTGGAGGGGCAGGTGCGTGTTAATGCAGGTTTGACCCACACCTCCTTCCTGCCACAGGGGCTGGCAGGGAAGCTGAGAACCCCCTGCCGACGAGGAACTGTCCAAAGCTCCCTCCAGAGGGATGGCTCTCGGGCCACCATCCCCAGCTCCCTCCGGTTCAATCCTGACCCACCCGCTCACTGCTTACTCTGGGAGTGGAACGCAGAATGCCCAACCTGATGAGGCTGCCCGCCCCCAGCATCCTGCCCTGGCTGCACAGCCTGCGGGCTAGGCTCTCCCTCGGGGCCCCCACTGCCCAGGGCCTCGCCTCAGCTGCAGTCACAGAGGCTGAACCTGACGGCCGCGCTGGGGCTCAAGTGCTGGAATGGCTACTCTTCCCAGTGGGTGAGCCCGGTGAGGCCGCCGAGCCCCTTAAGCCCTGCTTCTCTCATCTGCAAAACGGGAATAACGGCCCACCTCACAGGGCTGCAGTGAGACCTGGATGAGACGATGCAGGGCGTATGGTCCTGCACGCAGCGGGCACGTGACGGCTGGCAGGGGCCACTCTGTACTGTAACCGTACGCGTGTTTGCCAGCCTTTCTACTACACTGAAGCCTAAAGGGCAGGGGTCACAGCTATCTGGCTCGGCCTGGCTCAAGTAGGCGCTTGTTTGTCGCCTTCTGAACAGCTGGGCGAATGCCCTCTGGACGCTCCCCCTCCCTGCTGGGAGGCGGCAGGGGGTGTCGGCACTGGGTCAGCCGTGTCCTCTGCCTCCAAGGGTGCAGGCCAAACTCTCTCCTCCAGAAGTTGTATAAAAAGGCAATGCACACATGTATGTACACGTTTTGGGGGTGTTTATAAGTATTAACACAGAGTGTTCAATTCCCCACAGCTGAAATATCAGGTTTATTGCTCAATTTAAAATATAACAAATTTCTCAGATGATTATTTACTAAGTATCTAAAATTAGGATACATACTACATTTGCACGGCCTCTTTTTCCCTGGGAAAAATTTTTAAATGGATGGTCTGTACTAAATCAAAAAAGTATCTTAGCATCAAGGAAACAAGATTCACATATAAGTGCATGACGACTCCCCATGCTATGCTCGGGAGACCCTGGGCAGGAGCCCAGGTCCCAGACCTGACTCTTCAGGGTGCCCCCCCTCCCCTGCCCTGAGGCAGAGACAAGAAGAGCTGTGTTGTCAACCTCACAAGGCAACCGTGGGGAATGGAGCAATAAGGGGCGTGACGGAGCTCGGCAAAGCAGGGGACGGATGTGACCTGTGACAGCGGTCACTGCTGGAAGGACAGGCCGCAGGCGCCGGGCTGCACACAGCTCTGCATTTTCAGGTGGAGGAGCTTCTTGCCTCCGCACTGAGCGCCAAGTTCCCAAGCTGCCTCTTACCTCGAGGGTCATGACCACAAAGTTCACGGTGTCCCTCTCCTTCTCGGGAGGAAGGCGCAAGTGGCCGGGCAGCCTGGAGAACACCAACAGGTACTGGGCCAGGGCCCGGGCCAGAGTGGTCAGGGTCCGATACAGCACGGCATCCCCTGAAACAGAAGGGCCTCCATGGGGGCACGAGCTTTCAGCAGAGACTCTGACCTCCGAAAGACAGGCAGTCGGGCCCCCCCGCCAAGAATCTGATGGGGACTAAAGACATGGCTCCCGGAAGCACACGGGCACACAACCCACCACCCCGCGAGACCAGGACCCACATTCCCGAGGCTGAGCCCGCGTTCCTCGCAGGCCCTGAGCCCAGGCCACGTCAAGGAACGGCCAAGCAGCAAACACACCAAAAGACGCGCAGAGCCAGGGCCCCAGTGCAGGTTCTCGGTGGCCTCTGGAAGTGCCTTTGGTGTATCAGATCGACAGCGTTGACTGTATTTTCACTCGGTACAGAGCATGGCACTGGCTCTGCAGCATTTTTTAAAAATAAGGGGACTTTGATTTTAATTACCAAAGAGATCATCCAACTTGCTCCAGTAGGCGGTGGGCTCTGCAGGCAGGAACGGCTGGAAAACGTGGTGAACAGCGGGCAGCTGCTGAACCACACTGGTCACGCGGTCCAGAGTTGCCGTGCGAGCTGCTGCAAAAAGGGGGCTCTTCTGGCCCCCGCAGATCTCACGCGCGCCCAGGCCCAAGCACGGGGCTAGCAGGCTCACGTTGAACTCCTGAATCGGGGCATTAAAGGTTCAACAATGACGATTATGAGCTTTCAGTCGGGCAAGAGAAACACAGCAGAGGAGAACGCAAACATTTCTGAGATGACTATGCCATCCAAAACACCTGAAAGAATACCTTATTCTACTTCTGTTACAAATAAATGAACATCTCCATTGAACATACGATCAGTGAAGTGTATTTCTGGTCGCTTTCGGGTACTTTAATTTTAAAGAAATATTTTTTTATGTCTTCAGATTTATTTGAAATACAAAATTTAATATGATGAAATTTTAATTGATGAAGATACAAAATCAAGCTGATGTGCCATCCAAGAAAGAGTGAAACACCAAACATCTCAATGTTTGAAAAAGACAAGTTATGTTCAAAAGCAGCTGAAATAAATCAAAGCAGTCATATAAATGCCACAAGTTTGATTGGAAAAACAGCATTTCATACGATACTGTTTCAATTTGTACTGTGCTTTGCCAACTTTTTAAAGCCATTTAAGGATCTCTTTGGCCAATCTTAATTTAGTTAATATTCAGAAAAGCGCATGTCATTGTCAGCGACCAAAATCGACCCCTAGCCGTTGCAGCTGAGCCTTTCTTTAATGCTGTTAAAAGTCTAATGAGCAAATTTGGAAAATTCAGTTGGTTATTAAGCAAATTTATCACTTATCAGCAAATCAGCTTTCACTGAAGGGCTCTTCAAATGAGTTTGGCAAACTGGTTTTGGGCCAATTCTCCTGTTTTCCCCATGTAGCTCTTACCTTCAAACTGAGGGAGGGTCAGTGCTTGGGAACATGTGGCTGCACCCTGAAGCTCTCTACGCCACACCTGGCGGTCCTTGCCATCCCCCACGTCCCTGCGTCACTCCCGCTTGGCATATTTCCAGGCAGCACTATTAACACCTAAAGGTTTGTCGGCTGCTGGTCCCAGGAGGTCTAAGAAGGACCCTGCCAAGGCTGTGCCAACACCATCAAGGGGGCTCCACCCCTCACAGCACCAGTCGAACAGCTGAGGACAGGAACATGGATGCCCTGCCAGGGCTCCTGGGCCAGCTCCGCACAGCAGGCCTGTGTGACACCTAGTGAGGGTGGGGGGCCTCACTGCACATAGTTGGGGAGGGGACCCTGCTCCAGGTAGGGAGGGGCTTACTAACTTTCACAACATCATGAAAAAGTCAGTTAAATCACGCACCATGGCACCATCCCAGTACTTTTGCTCATGCGCACAAGACAGGCAATCAGAACTCATTATAACCTAAGGGAACCTATTTTCTTTAAATGCACAAAAAGGTGAGTTAAACACAATTCCCCTCCTTTTAGACTCTAACGTGGCTGAAATAACATCCTGTCCTGTCTGGATTAGGGTCTCTGCTGTTAAGGCACAAAGGTAAGTGGTGCACACTGCTGTTCGGTCACATGACAATGAAACACATCAAACACGTATGAGTAACAAGAGAAAGGGTTCCCAAGGGTCCCGCGGCTCCACTGTACCGAGTTCATCATGAACGCGCTCAAGTCACCCGGAGGGATCCGATTCACCAGCTCCGCCCCTTCCAGCAGTGCAGAGTCTGACCGTGTCCAGCACTGGGATTTAACCAGACGTACGTACCAGTCCTGGGGAGGAGAAAAGGTGGATGATGGGATGAGGCTGGGCAGGCTCTCAAGGAGCTTCAACTTGACCGGATACACCTTGTTTCTTCTCCTACTGACCCTCATGTCCTGTGGCCCCAGACCAAAGGACAAGTGGCCTCCCTGGACCAGGAATACAGCTCTGGTAAAACTGGACGCTGTCGCTGTGCGGGCTGCTCAGCGCCCCACAGGCCTTTTCCACGGGAACTGGTACTGGCTGTGTCTTTGCACTTGCTGTTACCTGTCTGGACACCCTCTCCCCTCACCTGGTGATCGCTCCACTGTCCCTCAAACTCAGTGAAGTACTGAGGGTAGCGGGCCCACCCCTCTGTCCACCCCTTGTTGGGCATCGTGCTGATCATCTTCTACTGGGGGGTCTGCTTTGCTCTTCTCTCCCCAGGGCCAGTGCAGTGGAGGAGGGGCTGAACAAACCATGCCTGAGAACAGCGGCCCGGACTCCGCTATCTACACCTGGGCTGCTGGATTTTGGTCTCCAAGTTCATATTTAAAATGAACTCTCTCCAGGAAAGAAGCACACCAAGGCCCTACCAAGGCCCCACCAAGGCCCCAGATGGCCCCCAGCTCTGAGGTATGAGCAGTGAGGGTGATGACAAGGTACCAGGTCCCCTGGGGTGGTGGGGTCAATATGCAGCGGGTCAGCAGGCGTAAGGAGAGGGAGACAGGCCAGGTGGGCAGGCCATGGCCACCCGTCTCCTGATTCTCCATTAATCACCATGATCCTCAGCCCCCTACTAATGACCTGAGTCAGCATTTCCTTTCTCACCCCACGCCCCCTGCTAAAGACCCAGGCTGGACCTCATGGGTCCTGTCGCTGATGTGACTGTGCCCATTACTGGCAAGAAACAGGGCAGGTCGAGAGCCCTCAGGGGCTGTGCTGAGCACCAGGATGCCCTGCCGCCTGAGCCACCCGCTGCAGAGGCACTCAGTGCCCCGAGGGGGCCCTGTGTGTCACACCCAGACGTGCTGGACACTTACTTTGTCAGGACTCACTGTCTCCAGTGCCAGGGGCCCGTCCCCGTCCAGCGGGTGGGGCGTGACCAGAGGAGCGGGGCCACGCGATGCCGGTGCGGTGGCGAGACGAAGCCTGTCCAGCAGGGAGTAGAGCCTTTGGTGTCTGGAATCCAATCACACATGGGTTAGGGCACAGCTGCACGGGAGGGAGCAACAGTGGCTTCTTACAGCGAGGCGACACGTTTGAAACTTTCTGTTCAGAGCTATTTCTCATCGACACTCAAGTCATGATGCAAATTCAGGCCCCAGTTTACTGGTAACAACCACAGTTTATGTCCCCTAAGTATTTTTCAGAAATTTCATTTATACTCAAACACTGCAACAGGCAATACATGGCATAACAGCTAATACAGGCACTCTTCATAAACACAAAACGGACCACCTAAGATCCCAGTGCACAAAATCTCCTACTTTATCTCCCCACAATACACAATCTATACCAATTTACATTCATTTCATATAAGAATCACCTCATCTGGCACAAAGTATTTTTACCCCTCCTCGTCTGTCTGAATAAGTCTAGGGTCGAAAATAGGGATAGTGTCGCCTCTCACCACCTGCTACGAGAACAACAACTTCATGATGCAAATTACAACGTAAGTCACCCAGCACACTGACAAGTCACCTAAAGCCTCGTACTGCCCAAGTCCTACCCGTTCTCGGTTAAAGAAACCAGCAACAGCTACTCTTAAGACTGAAGTCACAGTAACCAGATTCTCTCTCACACACGTTTTCCCTGCTGTGGAGGAGAGAAGATAAAGGTTCCTCTTCATTTATTTTGCAGTCACGGAAACACACTCATGTAACAGACATCAGGATTTCTGGCAAAGGCCTCAAAAAGACTTTGCAAACAAAATTAGGTGATAAACAGCCATAGAGAGACAAAATGTTGACAAGATGTAGAAACAATTCTCGCCGAGAACTAGGTAACGTCTCTCAGCTCTGCCAGGTCTTATTTAGCAATTAGATCACAGGCTTTGATTTTTGCTAAGACAGAGCTGATGACTCATCGCAGATGGTGAGTGGAGGTCACAGGAACACCCGCCACCCTCACACAGCCACGGCGCATTATCGCGGCAGAGCTGACACTGCCAGCTGGTCCTCACTGTGTACACGCTGAGATCCAACTGTGTTAATTTCGGAAGGCTCTCTCTCAAGGCCCTTCTGCAGTGAACCCAATACAGCACGCCAGCCTCTCACCCTGCAAGTCTGTGCCCTCACAAACCCTAGTCTGTACACTCAGAAAGCAAGGAGCACCGGGCCCCGGCGTTACCTCTGCGCTAACCCGCTGCTCTGCAGGTGCTCCTGGATCCTGCTTAGCTCTTCCGCCGGCAGCTGGGCCGTGCTGTTCTAAAGCAGACAAGAACACGTCAGTGGGGTTGCAACGCACAAGGGTCAAAGTCACCTGTGCTCATTTACAGACGATAAAGGGGCATGTCTGGCTCTGGTGGCAAAGGCGGACTAGAAGTACAGGAAGCACCCATACCGGACACACAAGGAAGGACCAGCTCATCCGTGGTGCACGCTCCCCTCGGTGGCCACATGAAGACTATCCCCGTGGGGGAGGAGCCAGCCAAGTGTTCCGCCTGCCCTGCCAGGTTTTCAGTAAAAAACGACATCCATGTTTTCTCCCAGTACCTGTAAATTTGCAGCCAGGAGCATCTCCACCCGGCGACAAGCAAGGGTGTCGACCATGTGAGCCAGCACACGGAATGGAGTACACAAAAGCTTGTCCACGTACAGCGTCAGCACGGCGCCCGACTGGCTCAGGTGGATCCCTTCCAGGCACTGGAGGGTTCTCTTCAGCGTGGTGGGCTGCGGTTTGAGAGAAGGAGGGTTTTGCCCGCTGGAAAGAGCAGTTCAAAAATGCCGACCCTCCATTTTTAAGGCAGAGAAAACTGGCGACAGCCAGCACCAGGGAGACTTACAGTTGAAAGATTTTCACAACGAGACTGAATTGCCTGGATGAAAAGGCCGCTGGCCGCGGAATTCCGATGGACAGCACTAATGAAGTCCTGCACAGGAGGCTCGTGGGACAGGCTGATCAGGTCCTGAATGTGGTTGACGATGAGCCACGTTAAGTGCTCTGAATCGTGCAGGTTCTGGCACTGAGGACAAGACAACAATGAAAGGACATCTTCTAGTGGACAAGGCAAGGGCAGACACTAGCGTCATAGAAAAGGCTGGAAGTGGTAGGAAGGAGAAAACCAACTCCGAATTATGATCCTCACTGAAAGGATTTAGTGTTTGAGCACCATGACTGATGAGGTGACAACACACTTTACAGAGCCGGCACCCGCAACTGTGCACCACAGCTGAGCTGTCCAAAGTCAGGCCCCAGGGAGGCGCGCCCCAGCGGCACAGCTCAGGGACACAGGAGAAGAGCGTGGCCCAGGGCCGCGGGGGGTCTGGGGCACCTGAGAGCCCGGCGCCTCCCGAGGGCAGCGGGAACGGCGTGACCGGCCCGAGCTGAGACACGAGAGCGGGTGGTGCTCCCGGCCAGGGCAAGTCCTGCCTCGCCCAAGCCTCAGTCCAGCCTCCTGATGGGAATTCTCCAGTTACCCTCGCTGCAGCTTTGTGACAGGTCAGCGGAAAAAAAGAATTTCCTGTAACTGTCACAGTTTTGATAGATTTCCTGAATCCAAAATATGGATGGTTCCCATAGATCAAATGGATCTTAAGGGAAGAAATTTCATGTAAGATTTATAAGGAAATGAGAAAAATACAGTTTTAAATTTTGGGTTGGCCAAAAAGTTTGTTCAGTTAATGAATACGTTGTTCAATAAAGTTCTTGGTGGGACTTCCCTAGTGGTCCAGTGTGGGGTGGTCTGTGCTCCCAATGCAGGGGGGCCCGGGTTCTATCCCTGGTCGGGGAACTAGATCCCACATGCTGCAACTAAGAGCTCGCGTGCCACAACTAAAAGATCCTGCATGCCTCAACTGAGACCCAGTGCAGCCTAAATAAATATATATATATATATATTTTAAAAGTTCTTGGTGAAACATGTTATTTTTTTCTTTGTTTTGATTTTTTTTTTTTTTTTTTTTGCGGTACGCGGGCCTCTCACTGTTGTGGCCCCTCCCGTTGCGGAGCACAGGCCCCGGACGCGCAGGCCCAGCGGCCATGGCTCACAGGCCCAGCCGCTCCACGGCATGTGGGCTCCTCCCGGACCGGGGCACGAACCCACGTTCCCTGCATCGGCAGGCGGACTCTCAACCACTGCGCCACCAGGGAAGCCCGAAAACTCTTATTTTTACTTAAAGCCAAACAACCTTTTTGGCCAACCCAATACATATGTTGCCTTTTCATTGTAATTCATGACCCTAGGCAGAAATTATAAAGCAAGATAAATTTTTTGGCACCTAGTTAATGCTTGATACTTTTACTGTGGGATAATTTGATAGTATGAACTTGTAAAGTAAATATTTTTCTTACTTTTCTGTGGAAACCGCATTATAACTATATCAGATTATTCCTCAGAAGCGAAACAAGTTAGAAAAACTATTTCAACATCAAGAATGTAAAGCAAGGGGCTTCCCGGGTGGCGCAGGGGTTAAGAATCCACCTGCCGATGCAGGGGACACGGGTTCAAGCCCTGGCCTGGGAAGATCCCACATGCCGCAGAGCAACTAAGCCCGTGAGCCACAACTACTGAGCCTGCGTGCCACAACTACTGAAGCCTGCGTGCCTAAGCCCGTGCTCCGCAACAAGAGAAGCCACCGCAATGAGAAGCCTGCGCACCACAACGAAGAGTAGCTCCCGCTCGCCGCAACTAGAGAAAGCCCACGCGCAGCAATAAAGACCCAAAGCAGCCAAAAATAAATAAATTTACAAAAAAAAAGAATGTAAAACAAAACATGAATATTAACATGAATATTAACAATGGCAAAAAAGATCTCAACAAGCAGCTCAGGTGAAGGAGTCTACTCCTTTTCCGATGTGCTGCTGAGTGACAGCGGCCTTCATGGCACCATGTCTGCACCAAAGGAAGGCAGCACTTTCTATCAGCCTGGAAAAGGTATCAGATCCCAGTGACAGTGGAACGACGGGTTCTCTCTTGAGTAATACGATTACAGATGTTATTTTCTTCTGTTTACTTATTTGGTTTTTGTAAATTTTTTGTATTAAACAAAGATGTTAGTTTTATGGTCAAAAATTCCACAAAAGTTATTTTGTAAAAGAATGTCATTCAAATAGGAATCTAAAAATGCAGCAATTAACATTCTAACACCTTTTCCACAGATTAAAAAAGTTTTTTAATCAGAACCTCACTCAGTCAAACTTGTAACTTCTTTTTATTATCATTGTGACTCCATGGTGTCCCTCAGAACAACAAAGGCGCCCGGCACTGTGAGTGGTGCAGAGCAAGTGACTGCCCACTGAATCTTTTACAGACAAACTTAAACTCCCAGGGCTGGACGCCAAGCTTGATTTCCAATTATACTTGGGAGTAGGATTCAACTTTAATTTTAGTCTTTCATTCTGGTGGAGTGACGGACGGTGGAAGTCAGCCTGTAGAGGTATCATCCGCACGAGGTGTTTTCCAGCCCCCAACACGCCCCTCCTCGCAATTCCAAACTTACGACATAATCGCAGAAGAGAATGAGAGCTCCTCTTCGTACTATTTCTCTATTGCACGTTCCCAGTTTGGAAGCCACATCAGAATCCTCGTCCTCTCCAGACATCCGGGGACTAAGTGACTTCGTGCTGGACAGACTGCGTCTTCTAGAAGGAGCAACAGAAGCTCTGACAGTGTTTCTGAGATGACAGCCGGCTTATTTTCAAAACACTGAAGATGACTGTCATTTAGTTCCAGTTCTGAAGCAGACAGTTACTTTAAATACTGCCACATCAGAATGATGTGTAAGATCTACTCTTAGTGATCTGTTTCTGAGCTATGATAAAGCACATATGGAAAACTAAAATAAACAGAGGATCTAACAGGCAGAAAATGTAAATGCTTGACTGAAAGGCAAAATCCACCACGAAGTTGCACATTCAATCAGCGCTCTTAACTCACTGGCTATGTCTGATGGCAGAGCTATTGCTTTTGAAATTCCTGGTTTTAGCTTGCTACGAAAGCCGTCAAGTGACAGAAGAAAACCTTTGCATTTCCACACTTTACTCTTCAATTACCAACGAAACGTTACAACCCTAAGCATGCCCACAGCGTCTATGCTATTATGGAAACCCTGTTTAAAAGCATTTCTGCAAAATTAATTCCCCACTAGTGAAGGTTATTTCACTTCATCTTTACTTCTTCTCACCTTGTCTTTTTTCTTTCTAAGGAGATGAGAATTACAAACTTCGGGACTCTCAGTACTGGCCACAACTCTTAAAACACAGTAGTTGCCATGCTCACCAACAGCCCTCTGACTTGAGGGTAAGACAATATCCTCGCCTCGGCGGCCAAGAGCCTACAAGTCTCTGCTAAGGCTTAGTGGAGACGAAGATGACACCAGGACTAGAATATTCTGAAATGTGTCAACTCTTCCTGTTAACGCCTCAGGATTTAGAAGAGAATTGTTTAAAAACTTCTATCACGACAGAACATGGATCAGTGGTTACCGAGGGAGGGGCAGGGGGAGGGGGTGGCTGCACTGGGACAGGAGGGAATTCTCTGAAGCGATGATACTGGTCTAACTATTTTTTTTTTTTTTACGGTACCCAGGCCTCTCACTGCCGTGGCCTCTCCCGTTGCGGAGCAAGGCTCCGGATGCGCAGGCCCGGCGGCCACGGCCCACGGGCCCAGCCGCTCCGCGGCATGCGGGATCCTCCCAGACCGGGGCACGAACCCGCATCCCCTACATCGGCAGGCGGACTCTCAACCACTGCGCCACCAGGGAAGCCCTGGTCTAACTCTTGATTGTGGTGGTGGTGACCTGACTATATCGGGTACAAAAGAGTACATGCTACTGTACTGTAAGTTATATGTCAATTAAAAACTAACAAACAAAAAACTTTCCTTTCTCAGTCAGCCCTCCTGCCAGCCCCAACATGACTTACATTCAAGCTGTAATTCTGTGTTTGCAATAGTATAGCTATAGGGGAAAAAGCCTCTGAAAGAGAAGGGGAGAATTTGCAGTTCAAATATTAGCAGTGGACACAAAGAAGGTCCAACGTCAACCCAAATTTAGTCCCAGTTTGTAGGAGGAGGGCAAAAGCCCCCAAGACCTCAGGACACACACTGCCAGCTACTGATAGCAAATGAACTTCCCAAATAAAAGATGACTGCGTATGCAGGACCCTAACCGTCCACCAAAAGGTAGGACAGGTAGAAAGCAAATCATAAGACTATGATGATCTAATCCCCAAAATAAGAAGCAGACAAAAACAGACCCCACTGTGGCAACCATGGGTACTTCCAGGAAGTGTGGCCTGGGAGCCTGTGCTCATCTGAGAGCCAGTGCTGAGCTGCACAGAACCTCTGTAACAATTGATAGAGCAGTTCTATATCTGCTGAGTACACAGATAGAAAATAATGACTTGTACTTTGTATTCCAAACTTCTAGTAATTCAATTTTATTATCTTTTGGAAATAGAGACACTCATCATCAAAACCAGACAAGGACACCACAAAAAAGGAAAATCACAGGGCAATATCCTTGATGAACATAGATGCAAAAATCCTCAACAAGATATTAGCAAACTGAATTCAACAGTACATTAAAAGGATCATATACCATGATAAGTAGGATTTATTCCACGGATGCAAGGATAGTTCAGCATCCATAAGTCAATCGACAAAACACATCATGTTAACAAAATGAAGAATAAAAAATATATGATCATCTCAATGGATGCAGAAGCATTTGACAAACGTCAACATCTATTTATGATAAAAACTCTCAATAAAATGGGTGCAGAGAGAACATACCTCAACATAATAAAGGCCATATATGACAAGCCCACAGCTAACATCATACTCAATGGTGAAGAGCTAAAAGCTCTTCCTTTAAGATCAGGAACAAGACAAGGATCCCTACTCTCGCCACTTTTATTCAACATAGTATTGGAGGTTCTAGCCAAAGCAATTAGGCAAGAAAAAGAAATAAAAGGCATTCAAGTCAGAAAGAAGTATAATTTTCACTACTTACAGATGACATGATACTGTACACAGAAAACCCTAAGGAGTCCACTAAAAACCTGTTAGAAGTAATCAATGAATTCAGTAAAATTGCAGGATACAAAATCAATATACAGAAATCTGTTGTATTTCTATACACAAATAACAAACTATCAGAAAGAGAAATTAAGGAAATAATCCCATTTACAACTGCATCAAAATAATAAAATACCTAGTATAAATTTAACCAAGGAGGTGAAAAAACTATACACTGAAAGACACTGATGAAAGAAGCTAAAGAAGACAAAAATAAATGGAAAGATATTCCATGCTCATGGATTAGAAGAAATAATATTGTTAAAATGTTCATACCACACAAAGCAATCTACAGATTCAATGCAATCCCCATCCAAATTCCAATGGCATTTTTCACAGAACTTGAACAAAAAATTCTAAAATTTGCATGGAACCACAAAAGACTCCAAACAGCCAAAAGCAATCTTGAGAAAGAAGAACAAAACTGGAGGTATCACGCTCCCTGATTTCAAACTACACTACAAAGCCACAGTAATCAAAGCAGTACGGTGTTGACATAAAACCAGACACACAGATCAATGGAACAGACAATAGAGAGCCCAGAAATAAACCCACACTTATATGACAGTTTCAGCTATAATAGGTGAAAATAATCGAGTTGGGGGATCATGCATGCACACGTCTGTTAATGTGTGATAGTGGGCAAGTTATTTAACTTCTCTGGGAAAAGGAGTTTCCTTGTCTATAATATACATGCATTTCAAGAGATTTTAATAACTTATCATAGTGGAAAGCCCACAGAACAATATCTGGCACTGAATGCTATATAAGTGCTAGTGATCTATATATAAAAGGTCTTTACCAATACATTATTATGATTTCTATTATCAGGGTAATTAAATCACTAACTCATGTTAGTGCTGGGGACACAATGAGGGCCCTTGTGGGAATTATGATCTAGAGGGAGAGATATTAACCAAATTGTCACACAAATAAATGTCAAATTACAGTCTCAACACATGCCACCAAAAAAGAGGCAAAGGTTGGGGTAAGAGCAGATAGTGAGACTTCACCAATCAAAGAGAAGTCAGGAAGGCTTCCCTGAGGAAATAATGACTGAGCTGAGAACCCAGGATCAGTGAGTTTCCCATATCTGCTAATATATGGAGAGAAATCAGGAAAATGTAAGTTGAACTATAAAAAGCTGGCAAAAAATAAATCAATATCATAAAGCCAATGTCTGTCCCTTAGATCCCACCTGCTCTTGCCAACTCTAGGATAACGCTCTCTTCTGTAAGGGGTCACCCATGCCATTCGTTCTCTCATCTAGAAACTCTCTCATGTCCTCATTTCCCATGTCTCTATTTCCCTCCAGAGCGAAGCTCCTCCTAACCATTGTGTAGAGCTGCTCTCTAAATGTCCCTCTTTTGTCATCTTTTTTCCTTAACTTTTATTTTGAAAACTTTCAAGCTGATATAAAGGCTCAAAGAATAATTCAGGGCTTCCCTGGTGGCGCAGTGGTTAAGATTCCGCCTGCCAAGGCAGGGGACACAGGTTCGAGCCCTGGTCCAGGAAGATCCCACATGCCGTGGAGCAACTAAGCCTGTGCGCCATACTGAGCCTGGCGCAGTGGTTAAGATTCCGCCTGCCAAGGCAGGGGACACAGGTTCGAGCCCTGGTCCAGGAAGATCCCACATGCCGTGGAGCAACTAAGCCTGTGCGCCACAACTACTGAGCCTGCGCTCTAGAGCCCGCGAGCCACAACCACTGAAGCCCGCGAGCCGCCACTACTGAAGCCCGCGAGCCTAGAGACCGAGCTCCACAACAAGAGAAGCCACCGCAATGAGAAGCTTGCGCACCGCAATGAAGAGTAGCCCCCGCTCGCCACAACTAGAGAAAGCTGCGCGCAGCAACAAAGACCCAATGCAGCCAAAAAAATAAAAAATAATAAATAAATAAATTTATTTAAAAAAAAAATAATTCAATTAACAGCGACATACTCTTCACCTAGATTCAACTACTAGTAAGTCACCACCTTTGCGCTCAGGCATGCACGCCACACACATGCACGTGCTCCACACATACACACACACCCTACACACACTCGACACTCATGCACACTGTACACACACGCAACTTGGGGGGCTGTACCATTTGAGAGTAATCTGCAGGTCAAGAGACTGCACCCCTAAACACCTCAGCAAGTGTGTCCCCTGAGTACTACTCATAACAAAAAGCAACAAGTTATGTAGAGCTCACATTCAAATGTAGCTTGTTGACCCAATAATGTCCTTTCTAGTGGTTTCATCCCCCAGATCCAGAATGTAATCAAGGATCATAAAACTGTACCTGTGTGTCATGCACTCTTACGTCTTTTCATCCAAGCAAACAGTTCTGTATCTTCCATGACACTGACTGACACTGCTGGAGAGTCCACGTGAGTCTTCTGTGGAAGGCCCTCCATTCATCAGACTTGGGTCTGCCCTCCCATTTGCTCTTGAACCCACTCCAGGTGGGCCTCTGCCCTCACTGCCCACCATACGTGCAAAGGCAGAGGAAGAGGAAGAGGAGAAGGAGAGTGGGGCAGAAGCTAAGAAGCACTGGCTGAGGATCCGTTTGGGCGGTGGGTACCTTCTCACTTACCGTCCGCCCACCCAACATCTGTTAGTATTATCAGCTAACTCAAGTCCTGCCCTTGGTGTCCAGGGAGGCTACTGGGGAGGCGGCAATAACACAAGAGCCCAGGACCCTAATTCCTACGGTGCCCAGCCATCCAGTCCGACAGTGGGCTGGAGCACAGGCTTGGTCCTTGGAACAGCCCCCTGGGTGCTCTGAGGCAGATTCCTCAAGGACCCAGGGCCTCACTGCTCAGAGCGTACTCCATGGATCAGAGCACTGGTAGCCCCAGGAGCCTGGCAGAAATGCAGAGTCCCAGGCACCATCAGCCATCTGCTGAATCAGAATCTGATTTGAACAAGCTCCCCAGGTGATTTCTACGCACAGTGAGGCAGCTCTGAAGTAGAAGACACCGATTTTCTGTTTCCGACTCTTACAATACTTTAGTCCTCATGACAGGCTTAAACTGTTCTCCAAGCGTGTCGAATGTTTTCACTGCTCTGTCCTCCCCAACTAACTGTAAGCACTTGGAGGGCAGGAAGCAGCGATTATTTTTCCTTTGCACGTCCCACAACACACAGCACAGGGTAGAGGTGTAATACTGCTGCTCACGTTGGCTTTTCCACCAAGAGCACTGGACCAGCCAACGCGGGACCCACGGCCTCACTTGGCTGTCTTTCCATGCTGAGGAGAGAGGAGCTGACCTCAACCCTGCAGCCCCTGCAGTCTCCTATTTCCACAGCTTTCTCTCCTCGCCATCGGCTCTTGAGTCTTCCAGAAACACTGCACTAAGGACTCAGCTGCGGCGGCGGGGGAGGTGCGTGAAACCGGAGGCGTGGCGGGGGGGGGGGGGGGGGGGGGGGGGGCGGCGGGGCGGGGGTCGGAAATCCAATCTTTTCTTTCCACATATGTACAAATGGCTGAGCAAAAGGGTGCCTAGAGACAGAGACTCAGACCTGACAACTTTTTGCAAAAACAGGGCCACCCACAATCAGATACTTAACAAGTCTTCTTGAATGATAAAAAAAAAAAAAAAGAGGCATTTCCAAGTAGTTTTGAAAGGCTGCTAAATAATTTCTTCATTATCAAAGAATAACTGGAACCACATTTAACTTATAATGAAGTTAAGCCATCGCAACACTGTCTGGCTCTGGAACCAATTTAAGGATGAGAACCCAGCAGCAGGGACACAGCATGACAAAAACGGCCCGTAAGATGGAACAGTGTCAAAGAACTTGTCAAAGAAATCACATGTGAAAAGCAGCGGCTATTCTGAATGCCTGTAGTCAGACCACGTTTT